GTGTCGTCTGTCCTTGTTTCAATGACCGCATTGGCCGAACTCGATCCTGGTGACTTCGAATACAAAATGCCCTCTGTGAATATTGAATTAAGACCCCGATCCACGAAAACCCCCCCTTGGGTTGCCCCATTATTTTGGGAAGTACGTGGTCTGTCCTCCGTACGTGTAGTTTTGTAGTCTGAAAGAATCTGGTAGTCACAAGTTTTCCTTGTCTATATTTCGTCCAGTAATTGATCTGTTTTGGCTGACTAGCAGCGCATTTTAACGGTTTATCAGACCCAGAAAGCTCTTTGTTGTGAGTTGAAGCTTGAGAAGGCTTTTTGAAATAATATCTGGTCTCCAAAGTTTGTGGACGACCGGCAAAGGTTGGATCGCCCATTGCCAAAGGATCCGTGGTTTTCACGTCGCTACATTTCAGTCTCGAGCGTTGACTGAAGACGGCCACTTGTTACCGTTTAAACCGTTTGGTTGCGAGTAATTTGCCACACGGGTAGACGTACCCAGGATATCTCGCTCGATACTCCGTATATAATTATTTGTCGTGCGATTCTTTTAGTTAAGATCTCACACTGACGTAGTCGTGCGAAATTGCATTATACGACTCCGATCAGAAACTGAAAACAACTGGCGAAACGAAAATATTGAAATTTGTGCCGTGTTATTTTTACAACAACACGAAAGACATTGAATGATGGCCGCTGCGAGAATCGCATGGAGAAACTACATTCGAGATGTTCTCGATTTCTCTCAGGATGAGGCACAAGAGATTGTTATTGAACAGGGCTTCAGTTCCCCTGCTTTCTTTGCCCGCTCGACGCGCGAAAATATTGATTCCCTGGTGAAACAGATCAATCGCACTGTGATTGATCCAGGAAATGATCCTGACACCACATTTTCCATCAACCAAGCCCAGAAAATCATGCTCTACGACCTTTGCGATTATTGCCGATTTATTTATATGGTGGATCGCCAACATGATCCAGCTTTTGGGACGCAAGCGAATTTGGCAAAAATCAATCGCTATTATTCCCACTTGAAGAACAAGTCGAACGAATTTGAGGATATTTCAGAGGTTATGCCTCCCAAATTTGATAATAAAAATACGGTCGAACTGATGGAGAGCTTGGAACAGTGGTTGAAGCGCAATCGCGGAAAAGGTGGCACTTTATTAACTTATGTGATCCGTGAGCATCAAAATCCGGACGACAATCCAACAGCTGATCCTGGTTTCCTTGTGCCATCTGTGGAAGATGAGGCAATTCGCCGGAGCTTGCATCGAGAGGACCAGTTTGTCGCAAATAACAAAGCTGTGTGGAATATGTTATATTCGGTATGCCATGGAACCGATGCTTGGCCTGTCATAAAGGGATACAAGACTACAGAAAATGGAAGGCAAGCGTATCTTGATCTGGTTGCCCACTACCAGGGTGAGGGCCAACTCAATAAGAGGCGCGACTCTGCCTACCGTGTCTTGAATACAACCCACTACAATGGAAAGAAAAATTTTAGTTTTGAAAAATTTGCGGCACGGGTTCTTGGTGCCTTTGAAGATTTGAAAAATTGTGGCGATGGCATGTCGGAACATGCCAAGGTAACCAAGTTCTTGAGCATGATCAAAGAAGGCCCCCAGGGTGCAGGATTGGACGCCTGCAAGACACTTGTCCGAGGAAGTCAAGCATGTATGCAAAACCTGCGCACGGCTATCAACACTTTGCAGACTGAAGATACGGCCCAGCAAACTCATCGCTTAACAGCGATTAGCGGTACAAGAGCCTTAGCTGCGGTCGACGGTGGAGGACGAAACTCCAATCGCGGACGTGGCCGTGGTCGTGATCGTGATAATGGTGGTAATGGTGGTCGTGATCGTGGTGGCCGTAATCGTAATCGTAATCAACATGGACGTGGCGGGGGTCGCGGACGAGGTGGTAGTCGAGACCACGATGGTACTATATGGTCCGATGATGGCACGACCATCCTCAACAACGGTGGATACTCCCAAGACACTTGGAGCCGTTTCTCTGATCGTGATCGCCGTGTTGTCCTTCAAGCCCGTGAACGTGCTAACAGTCGTCTTATGAGTGAACGTGACATTGCAGAATTGAACTCTTTGCGTGAACAAAATCGTGACCGCCAACAAAGTGAAGAACCCGCACCTTCACCAGCTCCAGCACCCTCTTCTGGCAACGTTGGTAGCGGAGTTCGACGTGGCCGTCGCTGACATGAGGCCGACTATCAGATTCGTGTTACTTGTTCCCTTTCCTCTCGTGTTCGTGTTTTAATGTCCCTTTCCCACTCCTTGCCCCAATGTGAGCTTGACTCACACG